TCTACAGATATTCCCATAGTGCTGGATGTTCTTCTTGATGTATATCTACACCACAAAGTTAATTTTTTTCAAATTAGATTCCTCTCTGAATTTGAAACACACCCGTATGTCAAGGGAGGTAAGTCTGTCTGTAAGATTGATATCATGAGCATCGATCCACGCAGTTGGGATACGATGACATGCATCAGCCAAGTCAGCGAGCCTGACCTACCGATCCCGGCATATTACTAATGTTGCACCAGTATTTGATAGCCCTCTTACAAGTGAATACACTTGGTACTTTCCACACTCACCTCTAACTTCATGCATATGGTTTGTGGATTATTCATTGATACACAAAAAGCACTTGCATGCAAACATATGAACAGTTTCAACTTCTTTACGGTTTTCAACGCCTCCAGTTTCCGAACCTGACAATAAAATTGGGCTAATTTTAATATGAAATCTTTTTAGAAATAACACCTGTGGATATGACTTGAATATGTGTTTAGATTTAACAACACCAGAAAGTATGTTTTTACTTGTATGGCAGCATTCCTCACGTGAGGAGTCCATGACGGTGATCTTGAAAATAACCCCTCCCCCCAAGATATTTATCAAACGTGACACATTCAAGTTGTACGTAATTGAAATACCATTTTTCATGCTTTGATAACACGCCACCATTTTTTAATGCAACAATTTTAGTTTTATCTAGATTTACAGATAAATAATGTTTTTACCTTAAAGGTGAGGTGAAATGGGGTTTAACGTCGCGCCCAAGATTATTGCTCTGAGATACCATGCCGCAGTTTAACATGAATATCCCACTCCGACTCCGAGCCGACCAGTCCTTGTTTTAGCCCCTTAATGCCGAGCGCCAGACAGGGTCACAACAAGTACAATCTTTTAACGTCTTTTGGTATGACGCGGCCGGGGATCGAACCCCGGATTTTCCGCTCTCCGGGCTGACGCTCTACCACTAGTCTTAACTTAAAGGATCTGGTGTAGTGATACGCTTCTGCGGTCCATAAACAGCGACGGCAAAAAGTACAATATCATCGACGAATAATAGGAGAAACAGTAGTACTCTATCAGGATGTAATTGTATACCAGGTGCACATGACGACTCAACTTCGTAGGCTATTTATCAATAAAAAGTGAAAATAGTAATGGGCTAAGCACACATCCTTGCCTTAGGACAAGTGGGCAGTTGAATAAATCTGAGTCAATTATTGTCTCTAACACGACGTTGGATTTGTGTGCATTCAACATTACGGGGGAAATGTCCTTACGTTTTAACATAAACCATAATTGAGCCATTGACAAGATCTGATGATTTTCTAAAATCAACAAAACGAAATATTCCATACAGTTTATACTACTTCTTGACAGAACGCATTGAATAAGAGACTTTATCATCCTAAACTGGTTCCCACGGGAGATATCGCTTGAGTGAGATCAAGCGATATCAGGGGCGCGTTGCAAGCCACGAATTGCTTAGAGAAAGCAAATTCATCGCTCAACCCGGGGTCTGCAACAGTTCGAAGCGCTTGCGCACTCTTCCAAAATGTCGGCACAACTACCGCTTGGTTGCCTTGACGTTTGTTTGTTGTTTACGCCGCACTCAGCAATCTTCAGGCTATATGACGGCGGTTTGTAAATAATCGAGTATGGACCAGACACTCCAGTGATTTACATCATGAGCATCTATCCACGTAATTGGGATACGATGACATGCATCAACCATGTCAGCGAGCCTGACCACCCGCGTAATGAAGAACGTAAAAGAAGAGGCTCGATGACGAGCTGATGAAATTTATGACTACTTTGAAGATGTGGAGCAGACTGAGGATGATGGGATGTTAGCTACCTTTGCTCATTTTCTCGTTAATCCAGTGAAGAATTCCTTGTTCCGCTGTCAAAGTAAGCCGCCATTTTGGCTTGAGAACGAAGCGACCTCAGTCATCGATTGCGGCGGTCGGGTAGCCTGGTGGATACCGCCGTGATATTGCTGGAATATTGCTAAAAGCGGCGTAAAACCATACTCACTCACTCCTAAAACAAAACAAAATGGGGCACGGGTGGCCCAGTCGTCTAAGGCGCCGCGATTTGCTGTCCAGAGTTGCGTCTCTCGGACACGCCAGAAACCTATGATTGTGGGTTCGAATCCCGGATCGCCCCAATTATGTTTCTTGGTTTGTCAGCACATACCCGCGCTCGTGGGTTTCACCGATGTGGTAAACGTCTGAGACCTGCATCCCTTCTGGCTTTCCTCCCACATTAAGCTGACACGCCGCGATATAACTGGAATATTGTTAAAATCGGCGTTACATCAAACTCACTCACTCTTGTTTGTTTCATTTTAGCCACCATCAAACAGCACTCACTCACTCACTCACTCACTCGCTCACTCACTCACTCACTCACTCACTCACTCACTCACTCACTCATTCACTCACTCACTCACTCACTCACTCACTCACTCACTCACTCACTCACTCACTCACTCACTCACTCACTCACTCAATCACCTAAAACCAATCTGAGACTCCACAATTTTCTTGTATGATTCAGCCCCCAAAGATAACCTATTGCTTAGTATGGATGTGTACAGCTTACTAAAAGTGCTTGAAAGAGATACGCCTCTGCTGTTTGAATCTTTAGTGATGCCCTTATAAAACAATCTTAATATGATGCTGGTATTCAAAATATCTGGACAATGAGAGGAATCAAATAATATGTTAAAGAACAATTCAGTATTTGGTACCAATACATCTATGGAATGTTTAAAAAAACTCCGGAATTAAATTCTTCTCGCCAGGTGCCTTCGTGTTTTTTTAATATTTAATATTAAATTTCGTCTGCGGTAATGGGTGAATCAAGGATACTGACAGTCACTTCATCCGAGTTAAAGTCAACAACACCATCCATATAAGTGCAATTATCTTCAATGCGACGTTTAAAACCCATTTTACCTCACCGCATCTATCCAAGGTCGAAGAGGGCTAACAGTGGCCGTGTGGTTTGTTTATTTTTTGTTGGTGGCCGAGTCGTCTTAGGCGCCGCGATTCGCTGTGCAGAGTTGCGTCTGTGTGTGTGTGTGTGTGTGTGTGTTTGTCTGTGTGTGTGTCTGTGTGTGTGTGTGTCTGTGTGTGTCAAAGCATGTTGAATGATCGAAGCCGCTGAATGACAGGTGTAGGGGGCACGGGTGGTCCAGTCGTCGGAGGCGCCGCGATTACCTTAGCAGAGTTGTGGACCTTAGGCACTCCAGAAACCTATGATTGTTGGTTCGAATCCCGATTCGCCCTGATTATGATTCTAGGTTTGTCAGCACCATATGCGTGATCGTGGGTTTCACCGAAGTGGTAAACGTCTGAGACCTGCATCATTTCGGGCTTTCCTCCCACATTAAGCTAACACGCTGCGATATAACTTGAATACTGTTAAAAGCGGCGTTAAACCCAACTCACTCACTCACTCACTCATTATTTTTTGTTTAACGTCGCTCTCAGCAATATTCCAGTCAGTCTCAATATATGACGTCAGTCTGTAAATAATCGACTCTGGACCAGACAATCCATTGACTGACGTCATGAGCATCGATCCACGCAATTGGGATACGATGACATGCTTCAGCCAAGTCAGCGAGCCTGACCACCCGATCCCATTAGTCGCTATTAACGGCAAGCATGGGTTTCTGAAGACCTATTCCACCCTGGATCTTCACGGGCCGTACGTACAGTCAGGTCCTGATCTCTACAACCAAGGTGTGGCGATGGGAACGTTACATCACTGCGAGGCCGAACGGGTTTGTCAATTTTTGTTTAAAAGAGATGACACAGCTGATGTTTGTTTGCTAAAGAAATGAAGGAGACACCTTCTGTGAGATAAACGTGGTACCGACTCTCTGTTATACGTTGTAATTGGCATCTGTCCCGTGAATTAAACACTGTATTAAATTTAAAAAAAAAAATAACAACAAAAACAAAACAAAAAAACAACAACAAAAAAACACACTGTATTCGCTGTCTGCGAGATGTGATATGAACATTGTTTCGGCCATCTACACATTATTTATTCGCTGCATTGATCAACATTACCATTATGAGTTTCAGGTGGTATTTAGGATGTATTATGAATATATTGTATCGACAAACTGTACGATGATCAAGAGTGACACAATATCACCATATTGTGATAATCACGTTCCCAATGCAAACGTACGTACATCTTGGTTGTATAAATACATCCCAAAGTTGAATTGTTTGATAGGCATTTCTTAGAAGTTGACAGATGACAAAGTAGACAAAAGATTTATGGATTCCAACTTTATTATACTGTGATAGAGACGTTTCCGTATAGATCCCCATACTGTTGTCAAACAGCTTTGCGTGGCAACGGAACAAAGATCTATACAAAAGCGTCGCTAATTAAGTAAAGTAAAGAAGTTGTTAATATCTATAGATTTTTTGTCTTCCTTCATATTACAAAGTTCACCTGTCTGTATGATAACAATCTGTACACGGAAACGCCTGTTCGTAGAGCGCCTGATCCAGGAACTGCGTCCTGAGGTTCGTATAAACCGAGTTTATGGCATTGGAAAGTTATCAAAGTCTAGGTCCCCTCGACAACCCCTGGCCCGGTGCACGAGGTTATTCCTTGTCATTAAAATCAGACCTTCGCTACCGCTAAACAAAGATCTGAAGACATCCAATTAGGGGGCACGTCAGAACGACCTTTCATCCGACCAATCAGTGCGTCGCTTACCAGATTATGAAAGTGACAGTCGGAATGTGATTTCTAATCATGCAATCTCGAAAACTTTAACATGGGGTATTCCGAACCATAGTTACGGATTTAACAACTGAATCCTTACAATCTAGACCATCTATTAGCCATTCCAGAATGTTTTTTGTTCAGGTTTCAAATTCGTAATCGAGAATTTGTCAAAATATGTTTCGAAGCGTAGTCGCCAATTTGAAATTTGTGTCGTGAAGCACAAGAAAGCTGCCTTCTGATTGGTCATTCCATTGGTCGGCCAAAGTTCGCGCAAGGTCGGTCTGACGTGACCCGTAATGGGATGTCCTCAGATCTTTGTTTAGCGGTAGCGAGAACAAAGATTTCATTTTAATGAGATTGGAGGTTTTTCAACATGGTTGACGTCGTGAGCTGAGTCTGGGGGCGTCTTATCCAAGAACTGCGTCCTTGGGTTCGAATAAACCGAGTTTATGGCAATAACATACACCAGATTCATTTACATATTATTGGAAGGTTATCAAAATCTAGGTCAACTTGACAACGCCTGGCCCGGAGGTTATTCAACATGGCGGACGTCGTGAGGTGAGTCTTGGACAACATGCTCGTCTCTCGCCTGCTCGCTTCCAGTATTTGCTGCTTCATCTTTCTCCTCTTCCTCTCAGGATCCATCAACTTCATCTTCCGAGTAATTTCTGGTTTGAGAGATTTCATATCGAACCCCGAGTGATAATACCGCGTCTCTACGGTGAGACGCCGAGTTGGGACCAGGTCTGGATCAGAGTTTCGGAGTGTCTGAAATTTCGAAATTTTGTAATCATCCTGCACGACTTTCTTGAAAGCCTGAAGTTCTTTTAAGTGCTTGGACATCCTGTCTATGACGCGAGACTGGGTGCTTTCAGCAGTTCTGCAACCCTTGTCGATGAACCGTGTTAATTTTTGTAACCGTTTTATCTCCCCTTCGTTTGCCTTCGCCGCTCTTTCCCGCGTGGTGGCGCTGATGTCGAGGAGCGCGGAGTACACCGTGCCCTGGCCCATTGGGCAGCTGTACTTGTCCCGCAGGAGACTTCTGTTGGTCACCTGGGGCATGGTTCCTGGGAGTGGCAGAAGCCTGGAATAACCAAACACGGAGAACAGATTAACACAAAACAAAACATAACATGTGTGGAACACACAGTCACAGGACCGATAATGGAGTGAGTTTTGAATGACATACCGTATTCGACGTAATACGCGCCCAGGGCGATCTCAAAATTAGAAATAGGGGGCTCTTATTAGAATAATATTTTGGTTAAAAAACCCAGAAAACGACATAAATTTCGTGGTATATGCTGACTGCTAAAATGTTTATATACGACAGATATATTTTTCCAGAATTTAATTGCCCATAATTAAGGGTGCATATAACACACGAGTGCGTATTATACGCGAATAAATAAATCTTGTGTAAATTGATCAATCGGAAGGGGTGCTAATTGGGATTGTTCACTAGCCAATATATTAACATAAATCACCGTGGGCGCTTATTATAGCGGGGCGCTTGTTACGTCGAATACGGTAATTCACAACTGGACTGTCAGGTGGTCTGGTACTAAAGACAGCGTAGGGTATATGGATTGTTGATATACAGACAGGTGTACAGATTTGTCGGACAAAAGAAACATACACCCAAGTTTGATGGTGGCTAAAATGAAACAGACAAGAGTGAGTGAGTTGGGTTTAACGCCGCTTTTAACAGTATTCCAGTTATATCACGGCGTGTCAGCTTAATGTGGGAGGAAAGCCCCAAGTGATGCAGGTCTCAGACGTTTACTACTTCGGTGAAACCCACGAGCTCGGTTGTGGTGCTGACAAACCTAGAAACATAATTGGGGCGAACCGGGATTCGAACCTACAATCATAGGTTTTTGGAGTGCCTAAGGTCCGCGACTCTGCACAGCGAATCGCGGCGCCTTAGACGACTGGGCCACCCGTGCCCCCGAAACAAACAAGAAATGGTTATTCGATGATAATGTATTCAACTCGGGCACCATAGTTGTGTTTAGGAGCTTAAGTCTGCAGTGTTTCGGCGACTGTAAACAGCCTACTATCGTTCTGATAACGGATGTTTATTGGTCAAATCCAATTTTCAAGTGAATACTAGTACTTTCTTTAGCCCGGCAGTTTAAATCGCTTTGGGCTGTCCTACAACATCAAGCTGGTGGTAGGTTAAAGCGTTGGCTCGACACGCCGAAGACCCGGGTTCGATTCCAGACATGGGTACAATGTGTGAAGCCCATTTCTGGTGTCCCCCGCCGTGATATTGCTGGAATATTGCTAAACGCGGCGTAAAACAATACTTACTCACTCACTCAAGCTGGTGGTAACTGAGAAGTTTCAAAGCGACGTTAAACTCAACTATCTCACATACGTCTTTCAGATTTTACTGCGTTGTGAGAGAGCCCCGTGGAGAGGTTTCTAGCGTATAAGCGAGCATCGAATGAAAGAAATACAACCTTTTGAAAATGTAGACTTATTTACAACCACTTGAGCTCCATAAATCCCAACAGGGTTAGACCGCCTCCGTGGTCTTGTGGTAGAGCGTCCGCCCGGAGAGCGGGCGGTCCAGGGTTCGATCCCGGGCCGCGTCATACAAAAAGACGTTAAAAGATTGTACTTGTTGTTACCCTGTCTGGCGCTCGGCATTAAGGGGCTAAAACAAGGACTGGTCGGCTCGGAGTCAGTATACTGTGTCTGAGTGGGGTATTCATGTTAAACTGCGGCATGGTATCTCAGTGAGCTAGCACTATAAATTGGCATCAGTCCGGACTAGTACAAGCAGCCACACACACACATACACGTGCATGCACGTCGCTATATAAGTGCAATAATCTTGGACGCGACGTTAAACCCAATTTCACCTCACCTCACCAAACAGGGTTATGGGTAGGGGGGATAAGCTCAGATATACGTACAACTAGCCTGTCAGTATTTCCCTTCAGTGATACATATGTATGTCAAAACAGGGCAACGTTATTTCTAGAAAGTAAAATTTAAAAACTATTACCATAACTGATTTGTGAATTTAAAAATCTCATACTGTCTTACTTTAGTGGGGTCGTCACGATGGGAGTCCGTATGCTGGACTGCGCGGGGTTTGCGAAGTGAATGGAAACAGTCTGAATATCTCTATTGCGTGCCGACCGTACGGCAAATAACGGGGTATTTGATATCACATACATGTTAGTTTCATCCATTACGGAAATTGAGTTTTGCTGTTATAACCTATAGCGTACTTCAAAAGTGAACTAAGATCGTCCGCGTTTGACGTCATTTGTGTACATTTGTAAAGTGTATAGACTGAGATCTAAGATAAGTGGCATATCTGTATGTAGACTGGAGGCAGTGCGTTTTTAAAATAAATATCTAAAATATATTTTGAAATCCGAAGGGAACAACTCAACTTAACGTGTTTATGTCAACAGTGTTTCGTTTTTGCACCTTTCTGTGGTTTATTGAATTATTTACGTTATTTCCACCTATTTATTATCAGACGTGTGTAGGGTACCCGGCAGAATGTGTCGTCGTTCGTGCTATCAGCCATTGCCTTGTCTGTCCACTCTCTGTTATTAACAGAAGGTCTTTATACAGCGACGTAAAGCAATAACTTACTCCCTTTTTGGGGGAATGAGTGAGTTGGGTTTAACGCCGCTTTTAACAAATTTCCAGTTATATCGCGGCGTGTCAGCTTAATGTGGGAGGAAAGCCACCACGAGGTTTACAACTTCGGTGAAACCCACGAGCACGGGTATGGTGTTGGCAAACCTAGAAACATAATCGGGGCGAATCGGGATTCGAACCCACAATCATAGGTTTCTGGCGTGCCTAAGGTCCGCGACTCTGCACAGGTAATCGCGGCGCCTTAGACGACTGGGCCACCCGTGCCCCCTACACCCTCTTTAAAATGCGTTGATTGATCTATACAGTATCACGTGACTGTGTTAAGAGCCGATCCAAATGAGTATCGGGTGGTCACAATGTATTACCTGTCCTTCAAGTGGCTTCGATCATTCAATATGCTTTGACATACCCCCCGCCCCTGGTGTCCCCAGCCCTGACTCCATCATGTACAGCATTACCGACAACGGAGTAGAGAGATTCAATTGAAAAGGTGGTCCGACACGGTGACTTGGTTGATTGCGCTTCATCGTATCGAGACGGTGTCAGAATATCCAACACTTTATTGTGTGGCCTGGACTCGATTTCTTTACAGGCGATCGTCATGTACCTGGAATCTATATGTTTCTGTGACGCACCGACACACACGGACACACATAAACCGACAACACACCGACACACCGACACACCGACAGACACCAACACAAAGACACCGACACATCGACACAGACAGACAGACACACAGACAGACAGACAGACAGACAGACAGACACACACACACACACACACACACACACACACACACACACACACACACACACACACACACACACACACACACACACACACACACACACACACAGAGATCCCGACACACAGACACAAACTCTCCAATAGGTATTGATGTGAACACTCACTTGTGTTGGGTAACAGGATCGATTAGTCACGGATAAGGATTGTAGTTTACGCGGATAGATGAGATGTATGATATGACGGGGTTGGAGCGTAGCCCCCTGGTTTAGCGATTGTTCGTCAATCCTGAGACCGAGGTTCAGTTCCCACGTGGGTACGACGTGTACTATGAGGTAAGAATATCCCTAATATGACTGTCTTATAAGTTAAAAAAACCACACACACAAAAACACACAAACACACAAACGGCTAGCCGCGAGCCGATATGACTAGAACGTGATCATCATAACATCGGGCCGAATATACCGTTACGTTTCTCTGATGAATTAATACCTACAGGTGTTGTTTTCACCTGCCCTGTCGGCGTTGTGTTATCGGAACGATCTCACGTAGACGGACGTGCAGAAGGAGACATGAAAAACATTACAAATAGCACTCGTACATTGTACGTAATAAACTACTACGTGTATTTATCTGTCATGCTTTATTCATAGGTGTATTCAAACACCTGGGCTTACCACGGTAGAAGGTATCAACATGACCCTATGTTTAAGCCCCGTCGGGATCGAACACAATAACGCAATATCTTTTCTTCCATGGGATGCTTGGCCACGATAGGTCCCCAATACACCATGGTTGTCTCCCCATTCAGATAGGTCCCCAGTACACCATGTTTGTCTCCCCATTCAGATAGGTAACCAATACACCATGTTTGTCTCCCCGTTCAGATAGGTCCCCAGTACACCATGTTTGTCTCCCCATTCAGATAGGTAACCAATACACCATGTTTGTCTCCTCGTTCAGATAGGTCCCCAGTACACCATGTTTGTCTCCCCGTTCAGATAGGTAACCAGTACACCATGTTTGTCTCCTCGTTCAGATAGGTAACCAGTACACCATATTTGCCTCCCCGTTCAGATAGGTAACCAGTACACCATGTTTGTCTCCCCGTTCAGATAGGTCCCCAGTACACCATGTTTGTCTCCTCGTTCAGATGGGTCCCCAGTACACCATATTTGCCTCCCCGTTCAGATAGGTAACCAGTACACCATGTTTGTCTCCCCGTTCAGATAGGTCCCCAGTACACCATGTTTGTCTCCCCGTTCAGATAGGTAACCAGTACACCATGTTTGTCTCCCCGTTCAGATAGGTCCCCAGTACACCATGTTTGTCTCCCCGTTCAGATAGGTAACCAGTACACCATGTTTCTCTCCCCGTTCAGATAGGTAACCAGTACACCATGTTTGTCTCCCCGTTCAGATAGGTAACCAGTACACCATGTTTGTCTCCCCGTTCAGATAGGTCCCCAGTACACCATGTTTGTCTCCCCGTTCAGATAGGTAACCAGTACACCATATTTGTCTCCCCGTTCAGATAGGTAACCAGTACACCCTATTTGTCTCCCCGTTCAGATAGGTACCAGTACACCATGTTTGTCTCCTCGTTCAGATAGGTCCCCAGTACACCATGTTTGTCTCCCCGTTCAGATAGGTAACCAGTACACCATGTTTGCCTCCCCGTTCAGATAGGTAACCAGTACACCATGTTTGTATCCCCGTTCAGATAGGTCCCCAGTACACCATGTTTGTCTCCCCGTTCAGATAGGTCCCCAGTACACCATGTTTGTCTCCCCGTTCAGATAGGTAACCAGTACACCATGTTTGTCTCCCCGTTCAGATAGGTAACAAGTACACCATGTTTGTCTCCCCGTTCAGATAGGTCCCCAGTACACCATCTTTGTCTCCCCGTTCAGATAGGTCCCCAGTACACCATCTTTGTCTCCCCGTTCAGATAGGTCCCCAGTACACCATCTTTGTCTCCCCGTTCAGATAGGTCCCCAGTACACCATGTTTGTCTCCCCGTTCAGATAGGTAACCAGTACACCATGTTTGTCTCCCCGTTCAGATAGGTCCCCAGTACACCATGTGTGTCTCCCCATTCAGATAGGTAACCAGTACACCATGTTTGTCTCCCCATTCAGATAGGTAACCAGTACACCATGTTTGTCTCCCCGTTCAGATAGGTAACCAGTACACCATGTTTGTCTCCCCGTTCAGATAGGTCCCCAGTACACCATGTTTGTCTCCCCGTTCAGATAGGTAACCAGTACACCATGTTTGTCTCCCCGTTCAGATAGGTGCCCAGTACACCATGTTTGTCTCCCCGTTCAGATAGGTAACCAGTACACCATGTTTGTCTCCCCGTTCAGATAGGTAACCAGTACACCATGTTTGTCTCCCCGTTCAGATAGGTAACCAGTACACCATGTTTGTCTCCCCGTTCAGATAGGTGCCCAGTACACCATGTTTGTCTCCCCGTTCAGATAGGTAACCAGTACACCATGTTTGTCTCCCCGTTCAGATAGGTCCGCAGTACACCCTGTTTGTCTCCCCGTTCAGATAGGTCCGCAGTACACCATGTTTGTCTCCCCGTTCAGATAGGTAACCAGTACACCATGTTTGTCTCCCAGTTCAGATAGGTCCCCAGTACACCATGTTTGTCGCCCCATTCAGATAGGTAACCAGTACACCATGTTTGTCGCCCCGTTCAGATAGGTAACCAGTACACCATGTTTGTCTCCCCGTTCAGATAGGTCCCCAGTACACCATGTTTGCCTCCCCGTTCAGTTAGGTAACCAGTACACCATGTTTGTCTCCCCGTTCAGATAGGTAACCAGTACATCATGTTTGTCTCCCCGTTCAGATAGGTAACCAGTACACCATGTTTGTCTCCCCGTTCAGATAGGTAACCAGTGCACCATGTTTGTCTCCCCGTTCAGATAGGTAACCAGTACACCATGTTTGTCTCCCCGTTCAGATAGGTAACCAGTACACCATGTTTGTCTCCCCGTTCAGATAGGTGCCCAGTACACCATGTTTGTCTCCCCGTTCAGATAGGTAACCAATACACCATGTTTGTCTCCCCGTTCAGATAGGTAACCAGTACACCATGTTTGTCTCCCCGTTCAGATAGGTGCCCAGTACACCATGTTTGTCTCCCCGTTCAGATAGGTAACCAGTACACCCTGTTTATCTCCCCGTTCAGATAGGTAACCAGTACACCCTGTTTGTCTCCCCGTTCAGATAGGTCCCCAGTACACCATGTTTGTCTCCCCGTTCAGATAGGTAACCAGTACACCATGTTTGTCTCCCCGTTCAGATAGGTCCCCAGTACACCATGTTTGTCGCCCCATTCAGATAGGTAACCAGTACACCATGTTTGTCTCCTCGTTCAGATAGGTCCCCAGTACACCATGTTTGTCTCCCCGTTCAGATAGGTAACCAGTACACCATGTTTGTCTCCCCGTTCAGATAGGTGCCCAGTACACCATGTTTGTCTCCCCGTTCAGATAGGTAACCAGTACACCATGTTTGTCTCCCCGTTCAGATAGGTAACCAGTACACCCTGTTTGTATCCCCGTTCAGATAGGTAACCAGTACACCATGTTTGTCTCCCCGTTCAGATAGGTAACCAGTACATCATGTTTGTCTCCCCGTTCAGATAGGTAACCAGTACACCATGTTTGTCTCCCCGTTCAGATAGGTCCCCAGTACACCATGTTTGTCTCCCAGTTCAGATAGGTCCCCAGTACACCATGTTTGTCGCCCCATTCAGATAGGTAACCAGTACAACATATTTGTCTCCCTGTTCAGATAGGTCCCCAGTACATCATGTTTGTCTCCCCGTTCAGATAGGTAACCAGTACACCATGTTTGTCTCCCCGTTCAGATAGGTAACCAGTACACCATGTTTGTCTCCCCGTTCAGATAGGTAACCAATACACCATGTTTGTCTCCCCGTTCAGATAGGTAACCAGTACACCATGTTTGTCTCCTCGTTCAGATAGGTAACCAGTACACCATGTTTGTCTCCCCGTTCAGATAGGTAACCAGTACATCATATTTGCCTCCCCGTTCAGATAGGTAACCAGTACACCATGTTTGTCTCCCCGTTCAGATAGGTAACCAGTACACCATGTTCGTCTCCCCGTTCAGATAGGTAACCAGTACACCATGTTTGTCTCCCCGTTCAGATAGGTAACCAGTACACCATGTTTGTCGCCCCGTTCAGATAGGTAACCAGTACACCATGTTTGTCTCCCCGTTCAGATAGGTCCCCAGTACACCATGTTTGTCGCCCCGTTCAGATAGGTAACCAGTACACCATGTTTGTCTCGCCGTACAGATAGGTCCCCAGTACACCATGTTTGTCTCCCCGTTCAGATAGGTCCCCAGTACACCATGTTTGTCTCCCCGTTCAGATAGGTAACCAGTACACCATGTTTGTCGCCCCGTTCAGATAGGTAACCAGTACACCATGTTTGTCTCCCCGTTCAGATAGGTAACCAGTACACCATGTTTGTCTCCCCGTTCAGATAGGTCCCCAGTACACCATGTTTGTCGCCCCGTTCAGATAGGTAACCAGTACACCATGTTTGTCTCGCCGTACAGATAGGTCCCCAGTACACCATGTTTGTCTCCCCGTTCAGATAGGTCCCCAGTACACCATGTTTGTCTCCCCGTTCAGATAGGTAACCAGTACACCATGTTTGTCGCCCCGTTCAGATAGGTAACCAGTACACCATGTTTGTCTCCCCGTTCAGATAGGTAACCAGTACACCATGTTTGTCTCCCCGTTCAGATAGGTCCCCAGTACACCATGTTTGTCGCCCCGTTCAGATAGGTAACCAGTACACCATGTTTGTCTCGCCGTACAGATAGGTCCCCAGTACACCATGTTTGTCTCCCCGTTCAGATAGGTCCCCAGTACACCATGTTTGTCTCCCCGTTCAGATAGGTAACCAGTACACCATGTTTGTCGCCCCGTTCAGATAGGTAACCAGTACACCATGTTTGTCTCCCCGTTCAGATAGGTAACCAGTACACCATGTTTGTCTCCCCGTTCAGATAGGTCCCCAGTACACCATGTTTGTCGCCCCGTTCAGATAGGTAACCAGTACACCATGTTTGTCTCGCCGTACAGATAGGTCCCCAGTACACCATGTTTGTCTCCCCGTTCAGATAGGTCCCCAGTACACCATGTTTGTCTCCCCGTTCAGATAGGTAACCAGTACACCATGTTTGTCTCCCCGTTCAGATAGGTAACCAGTACACCATGTTTGTCTCCCCGTTCAGATAGGTCCCCAGTACACCATGTTTGTCGCCCCGTTCAGATAGGTAACCAGTACACCATGTTTGTCTCGCCGTACAGATAGGTCCCCAGTACACCATGTTTGTCTCCCCGTTCAGATAGGTCCCCAGTACACCATGTTTGTCTCCCCGTTCAGATAGGTAACCAGTACACCATGTTTGTCGCCCCGTTCAGATAGGTAACCAGTACACCATGTTTGTCTCCCCGTTCAGATAGGTAACCAGTACACCATGTTTGTCGCCCCGTTCAGATAGGTAACCAGTACACCATGTTTGTCGCCCCGTTCAGATAGGTAACCAGTACACCATGTTTGTCATGTGATGTATTTGATACGGCTATCATAGCTGTGTTTTGGACGTGTTTCCAGCCTCGTAAGATTTTAATATTAACGTTTGTAATGTTTTGATCAAATGCACATTTCATGTGGGAGGAAAGCCCGAAATGATGTAGGTCTTAAAAGTTTACCACTTCAGTGAAACCCACGAGCACGGGTATGGTGGTGACAGACCTAGAAACATAATCGGGGCGAACCAGGAGTCATTATTTTCAGAAAATCTCACCCTGCACGAAACACATTGATTTTGCGATTCCGACCATATCATGAGCACGTGTTAATCAATCACTACCAAATAGTAATGATACCAGGTGTTCGTGAAAGGTGATCGTTGTCACCAATTCATGCCATATTAAAGTGAGTGAGTGAGTGAGTATGGTTTTACGCCGCTTTTAGCAATATTCCAGCAATATCACAGCGGGGGACACCAGAAATGGGCTTCACACATTGTACCCATGTCGGCAATCGAACCCGGGTCTTCGGCGTGACGAGCGAACGCTTTAACCACTAGGCTTCCCGACCGCCCCCCATATTAAAGACTACCATTTCGAGAATATTGAATGATGGTAAAATGTACCTTATCAAACACACCCCGTTTACAATTCGTATTCAATGAAAGTATGTTAACATGTCCGTATGCCTATCATGATAACAGCAACTTTGGTGACACTCCTTTGTATATGAAGTTATTTTGATAGTCATGAAACAATAAATGTCAGTTCGTATTGTGCGTAATTCTTGTTTTTGAACTTACCTTCAATATCAACCCCTTATTCCACAAAACAGATACACCTTCATCCAACACGGGTCGAATAAATAGACTCCATGTCGTCAAACGTTAATTCTTATACCACCAATAACCGCAGAGCCCACAAATGTATCTGATTCAAATTCATAGTTTGGGCCAGAAGGCGACATATTCTGCCCCGATCAAGCTGAAAACTCTAAACGTTAAATGTGAGGTCAAATGATAAATGTTGTCACCATAACAAAGGTTAATCTGCTGATAATCTAGATTGAGAATGGTTCCAATGTCAACAGGCCGCCGTAGTGGTTAGTTAGGAGAGAAATATATACTATTGATTAGGTTGATAAACTTGAACACAATCGTGTCGCAATCTACATGATGGTAGATTTGCAAACCCACGTGCAGAGAAAGCCACCCGTCTGGACCAGTGCGTATCGTAATTACTCAAATAATCTGACGCTAAAAATAAGAATAAAACTATTTTGTTTTTTTAAAACGTAACTGTTTAGGATAAGGAACAAGACTAAACCAAATATTAAGCTAATGTTAGTAACTATGGTATAATATGAGTGAGTGAGTGAGTGAGTTAAAATTTAACGTCTCATCGCCATTATTTCAGCCATAAAGCGACTAATATGCTTTTTAAATTCGATTATTGATGTTCCTAATTGCTCACTTAAGTGCAAAGCATATCAATGAACTTTCGTGCAACAAAATGAGTGAGTGAGTGAGTTTGGCTTAACGCCGCTTTTAACAGTATTCCAGTCATATCGCGGCGTGTCAGCTTAATGTGGGAGGAAAGCCCCAAGTGATGCAGGTTTTTAGACGTTTACCACTTAGGTGAAACCCACGAGCACGGGTATGGTGCTGACAAACCTAGAAACATAATTGGGGCGAACCGGGATTCGAACCCACAATCATAGGTTTCTGGCGTGCCCAAGGGACGCAACTCTGCACAGCGAATCGCGGCGCCTTAGACGACTGGGCCACCCGTGCCCCCTGCAACAAAATGTGTTGTTTTCCTCCCGAAACATTCTCCTGGCCATAGTCGACCAAAGCGAGAAGTCATGGTATATTCAGAAAACGACGATTTTCTGGATTGCGCACCGTCGTTTTGAGAATACTCCGACTCAAACAAGTGAATAGTATTTGTGAGCTTAATATACTCATAGCCCTGCCAGTCGATATTTTAGTGTGCAGAGTAGACAAATAGCATACACATTTGTATGTTACTGAATACACCTAAGTTTTTCCGTTTAGTCGGCCTGGCCCCGTTCCTCAAAGCGGTCTTAGCGCGGCGATGATCTTAAGCCTATGTTAAAGTATAGGACTTACGATTACCTTAGTGCTAAGATCGCTTTGAGGAACGTGGTCCTGAACACATGAGTTGTGTTGCTAACGGGAAATACGGTACGCTTCATTCGCTGTATCATGTGACGGCGTGGGGTGAATATCAATCATTCAAACACGATTGTTTGTGATTTTATACCACCGGTACTGATAACATTTCTTACTTTCTATGCGGTGAGGGCGACGGGGCGCGGTCCAGGTGAATAACTGCGAAAAACTATTTCTGCGTATTTAATATCCATTGAAAGCACAGTACAGTCCAACTTTAAATTTCTGTCAATTTCAATGTTATCCAAAGGCGACCGACATTTCAAATGTCTGTGCCTGGATCTTCTTTTTAATAATCAGAACTTCTATCTGTTTCACTACCTCGGACAAACACAGATAAACAGAAAAACAATGATAAACAAATACACATTGATAAACCGATAAACATTGTAAGACAGACGCACACTGATAAACATATATAACCGATAAACAGGTACACACTGACAAACAGATACACACTTGATGATAGATAAACACTGATAACTATATACACACTGATAAACCGATAAACATTGTAAAACAGACACACACTGATAAACAGAGCGCACCGATAAACAGGTACACAATGACAAACAGATACACACGTAATGATAGATAAACACTGATAAGCATATACACACTGATAAACAGATACACATTGATATGCAGATACACACTGATAAACCGATAAACATTGTAAAACAGACACACACTGATAAACAGATACACACCGATAAACAGGTACACAATGACAAACAGATACACACGTAATGATAGATAAACACTGATAAACATATACACACTGATAAACTGATAAACATTGATTAACAGATACACACTGATAAACTGATAAACATTGTAAAACATACACACACTGACAAACAGATACACACTTGATGACAGAAAAACACTGATAAGCATATACACACTGATAAACGGATAAACATTGATTAACAGCTACACATTGATAAACAGATACGCACTGATAAAGAAAAACACATTGATAAACAGTTATACACTGATAAACAGATCAACATTGATAAACATTGATAACAGAAAAATAAATTTGATAAACAGAGATACACTGATAAACGTTGGCAAACAAATACATATTAATAAACGGATGTGTGCTATATTGTCATGTTGTGCAGTCAAGTGCTTGGACAAGATGTAGTATTGTGGAACAACTATCGCTACACCATGTTTTGCTGTGAGAGTTCTACCCCGATTATTTTTCTAGGCCTGTCAGCACCATACCCGAGAATTCATGGGTTTCAAGAAGCCGGTAAATGTCTAAAACCTGCATCACTTCGCACTTTCCTCCCAAACCAAGCTGACGCCACGATATAACTGAAATACTGGTAAAAGCGGCGTTGAACCCAACTCACTCACTCACTCTACCGTGCTCGCCAGTTTCAGTGTAATCCTTTACGACATACGACTGACGCCGTCATATAACTGAAATACTCCCTGGTGAAAACGGCGTTGAATCTCGCTAACTCTGTGTTGCATCAAGCAGAACAGGAACAAGCACAACACAAAGATATGGACATACGTACATTTTGCCGACAGGTGCTCGCGGCGAGGGCATCATAGTCCGAGAACAAGCAGCACAGATGCTGAGAACACAACCCTACTTCTCCTGTCTTTAATAGCGGGGGAAACGACGACAAAGCTTCTTACGGAACTATACAGGTTAATACGTCAATGACAGTTATTCCATAAGCTGATTCCCTATGAAAAGTCAATTGACCTAATAAGGGACCGTCTCAATATACAATACACGATTTGTTGGTTTATTTTGAGTTGGCAACTCCTTTTGACCTGTTATTCTTAAGACGGGTTATTCATCACCTGGGACCTGATCAACAGCTCGATGTAGCGCTAACACAACGTAAGTCCCATACATCCGATCATCGTAGCGTTAAGCTTGCTACGCTTGTCTACGGGCCCGACGATGTAAACTTTAGTAAACTTAAAATGAAACCACTGTTTTTTTCCTGACGCGCCTATTATAAATAAAAACTTTAAAGTGTTTTTTTCTCTCTATTATTTCACAATTTAAATAAAAATCACATTTTAAATAAAAATATGTTTTAAACTGTTATTTCTGTTTCGAACAATGATCCTTCTTGAAACATCCACACAGTACAAACGAGTGATTAGAGCCGAGTAGTGTCATAAGCAGGAAGGAAATATGCTGAAGCTGCTGTTCAACCATGAACAGTGCAAAAAGTATTATTCTGAATCTTTTGACCCCAATTAACATTTAAAATGGAATGTTTTGGTTAACCAACAACACAAGATGTTTTAAGGTAAAAATTACATGTACTTAGGCAAATTTCACTTTCGGACGCAATTCACAAATAAAGACCTCAGTATTTTTCCCTCGCCGACCTAAATGTTTCCACACTTGTCTTCGAGAAGGACATGCCTACCCTTCCGCAAACACCTGGATATTCAGTTATCCATTCATATAATTGTCACCGCTATTTTGCCTCTAACGGCCATTCTTAGTCACATCTTTCGACAAGCATGGGTTGCTATTCTACCCCGGAGGGAAGTGATCTTTACTACTTAAATCAACACGCACTTTTAACGTTTTAGTAAATAAAAGTATTTTATTGGGGTCTGCAGTTGAGAGAACCTGCTGGATACATGGTGAAGGGACCTTTTGGGATGCACAACTTGCTGGGTAGATGGTAGGAGCACAACTTGCTGGGTAGATGGTAGGAGCACAACTTGTTGGGAAGATGGTAAGAGCACAACTTACTGGGTAGATGGTAGGAGCACAACTTGCTGGGTAGATGGTAGGAGCACAACTTGCTGGGTAGATGGTAGGAGCACAACTTGTTGGGTAGATGGTAAGAGTATAACTAGCTGGGTAAATGGTAGGAGCACAACTTGCTTGGTAGATGGTAGGAGCACAACTTGCTTGGTAGATGGTAGGAGCACAACTTGCTGGGTAGATGGTTGGAGCACAACTTGCTGGGTAGATGGTAGGAGCACAACTTGCTGGGTAGATTGTAGGAGCACAACTTACTGGGTAGATGGTAGGAGTATAACTTGCTGGGTAGATGGTAGGAGTATAACTTGCTGGGTAGATGGTAGGAGCACAACTTGTTGGGTAGATGGTAGAAGCACAACTTGCTGGGTAGATGGTAGGAGCACAACCTGCTGGGTAGATAGTAGGAGCACAACTTACTGGGTAGATGGTAGGAGTATAACTTACTGGGTAGATGGTAGGAGCACAACTTACTGGGTAGATGGTAGGAGCACAACTCACTGGGTAGATGGTAGGAGCACAACTTACTGGGTAGATGGTAGGAGCACAACTTGCTGGGTAGATGGTAGGAGCACAGCTTGCTGGGCAGATGGTAAGAGCACAACTTGCTGGGTAGATGGTAGGAGCACAACTTACTGGGTAGATGGTAGGAGCACAACTCACTGGGTAGATGGTAGGAGCACAACTTACTGAGTAGATGGTAGGAGCACAACTTGCTGGGTAGATGGTAGGAGCACAACTTGCTGGGTAGATGATAAGAGCACAACTTGCTGGGTAGATGGTAGGAGCACAACTTACTGGGTAGATGGTAGGAGCACAACTTGCTTGGTAGTTTGGAGGAGCACAACTTGCTGGGTAGATGGTCGGAGCACAACTTGCTGGGTAGATGGTAGGAGCACAACTTGCTGGGTAGATGGTAGGTGCACAACT